GTAAAATAGGGGGTGAAAGTTCGTATGGAACTTTGTCAATTATAAAACGATCTGGTTGAAATTCGGCGTGCCGATAGATATTTTGACGTAAACATCCTCTAAGAAAGGATTTTGATCATTTCCACTCCCCAAGGGGGTAAAATAGGGGTGAAAGTTTGTATGAAACTTTGTCAGTTTTACACCGATAGGGATGAAATTCGGCATGAAAGTAGATGTTATGACGTAGGCATCTCCAAGTAAGGATTTTGATCATTTCCAACTCCAATGGGATAATGTAGGGGATGAAAGTTTGTATGAGGCTTTGTCAGTTTTACACAGATCGGGTTGAAATTCGGCGTGCAGGTAGATATTATGACGTACACGTCCCTTTAGAAAGGTTTTTGAACATTTCCACCCCAAAGTGGGTAATATAGAGGGTGAAAGTTTGTGTGATACTTTGCCAGTTTTAAACCGATCGGGCTGAGACTTTGCATGCATAAAGTTACTATGACATAGGTATCTCCTTAGAAAGGATTTTGATGAATTCCACCCCTAAGGGGATAAAATAGGGAATGATAGTTGGTGTGAAAATGGGAATGAAAATTGAATCTAGAATCATTGAATCTTTTTGAATTACATTCGGTAAAACGATGATTTGGGACCTGAGTAACGTATGATAGTTTTTATCTCAGAAGTCCCTCGGGAACGGGAACTATGCGTCAATGCTCCAGGACTCTCTATCTTTTAACCACTGAACTTATTTCATAGAGATTCTGTACAACAGTCGAAGTTTTTATTACTCAAAACTTACGTGATCAAGCCGGGACTGGTAAGAACCCTGCGGGATTTTTAATTTATTGAAATTACGATAAATTATTTCACGATAGGTAAATCTTAATTGGGCACTGAATTGATTATGATGAATTCTGTCAGAAGGCATTAATCTACGCGGACGAAGTCGCGGGCAACAGCTAGTTATGAATATACATACGATAGTCATGACAAAATATATTTTTTTGCAATGTTTGTCTGTCTGTTTGTACTAGGGAATCTCTGGAATGATTGGACCGATTTTGCAACACATTTACTGGCAGGTAGCTGATGTGCTAAGGAGAGACCTAGGCTAATTTTATTTTGGAAAATTGATATAAAAAAATTCTAAAAATATATATTTTACGCGGACCAAGTGGCGGGCAACAGTAATAAGTATTTAGTAATTGATTTATAAAAGTGATTTGGGATTTTTTTTTTGAGGGTTCAAAATTATCCAATAACTTCTCCCACCCGGGACAGGGCGAGAGGGAGTGTCAGACTCTTACTGACTAAAACCACCCCGTTCCTACTCCTGCACTTCGAGCCGGAGCCCCGGTAACTGGTTAGGATCTCCGCGGCTCCGTATCGGTAACAGCCCTGTTGGGCCCATCTGTGGTGGACTGATGGCTCCTTGAGGCGCGCGCCGAACGCGACGCGCCGTAAGCTCGGGCCTGGTTCTGGTCGGGCAGCGAGTTATCCATGCTCGCCGTCCGCAGGCCCACGCTTACGGTGGCAGTGATTTGGCGATAGTCGATTGTTTCATACCACTCCTAAGTATATTACACGCCCAGGTACTTTCCTTAATTATTTCGACTGTTCAATATAATAAAATAATTACAATTTCATTAATTGATTTTATGACTAACTTAATTTTAGTATTTTTCCAGCAATTTTTATAGAAATAACTATTATGTTTGACGCTAAAAAACGTGACATTACAATACACAATCTCGTACAAAATACATAGAAAACTGTCGTTTTTGACAGTTCCAAAAAAGTATTGAATTTGATTAGTTGGCTAGTACCCAATTAGACACAAATGTACCTTACAAATATTTTGAACGGAACTATTAATAGTTAATTATTTAATGTATGCCATTTAGTACCGGATACAACTATCTCATTAAACCCTGGGTCTCATAACGATGACATTAATTTAAATTATGTATGTCTAATGAGTAACAGCCTGGTTAGTTGAGTGCCGAACTAAGGGTCTCCAGTTTGGTGACATATATTATTACTGTACTACTATTGAATAGTAAAATATACGCTTTTTACTCCCAAAGGGGTAGGCAGAGGTGCTCATTACGGCACTTAATGCCACTGTACAATGTAACACCCACTTTTCACTATTTATGTTATGCGTCCCATGTAATAATCCGTCTATTGCCATATACCGAGCACAATTGTAGACTCCGTGCACTGCAGATTTTTTTTGAAATCCAGTAATATATTGCCCTACCTGGGATTCCAACCCGAGACCCCTTGCCCGGCAGTCAGCCAACGAGACAGAAATTTAGGTATAATATTTAATTCTATGAATAAATAACATGTTTGGTATACTCATGTTTTTTTACCCCTTTCTTTAACGTAATGCTGTGAAGTAAATAGTGTATTATTCTAGGTCTTTTGGACCTAGGACTGTTATCTGTATGCTTAGCTTCACCTAAATCTGAAAGAAAGAAGAAGAAAGTTAAATCATTTATTCAGCACCAGGCACGATGCAGCATAAGTAAAACATAAAACAGAAAATGAAAGTGTGGCAGTGGAAGTAAGAAAAACATTAACTTAACAAATTAAAACACTTATCAGAAAAGAGACGCTAACAACATGCCTATGCTAAAAGGGTCACCCACTCAGTGTAAGCAAGGCATACTAGTCCACCCAGCACTGATTTTCAGTGTACTGTTGAACCGTTTACCTGTGAAAGACTAAAAACAGCTATACAAACTTTTCTATGAAATAGGGTAGATTCCTAAATTTTATTTTAATGTCCGTCTGGTAGATTATTTTAAAACATTAGACACGATGTTTTTCTTTTCTCACAAAATTAAATGCTTTCGACGATATATTGATTTGAAATGTTGTGTGACGTCACAGCGTGCAACAAAATGTAGCACGTTGTGACGTAACAACCTCCCACTCCTAAACTTAGTGCCATTTTATCTAAGTATTGCAACTTAATACAAGAAAATAAAAAAAATACGTGTCTAATATTTTTTTCATTTTTTAACTGACGGAGTAATTACATTTTTAATTTTCTTACCCTGGAAATTACCCTATTGGAGGCAAACGAGCAGACGGATCACCTGATGGTAAGCGATCAGCGCCACCCATGGACACCCGCAACACCACCTTATTCACCAAACATGTTTGTGAATGAATATTTTGTAATATGTCGTAGTCAGTCAAATGTCATAAAATTATTCCAGCAATTCTTGAGTGTTTATTTATTTATTTACCTCTATTTAAATAGGTTAGCCAACAATTATTACACTTTTTCATTACTGTTAATAAAAGATATAACACATGTACGAGTATAATAATCACTTATAGGCTAACACAGTATGCATAAAGTGTTCTATGTTCTATGTATGTTACACATAACATCACGCCTTTTTACCCCCAAGGGGTAGGTAGAGGTGCACATTACGACACTTAATGCCACTGTACAATTTAACATCCATTTTTCACTATTTATGTTATTAATCTCATGTAATAGGTGGTGAGCCTATTGCCATATACCGGGCTCAATCCCAGACTCCGTGCTCCTACTGAGAATTTTTTAAAACCCAGTTTAAAACTTTGTCTCGAGACCTCTTGCTCGACAGTCGCATTTGCAACCACTCGGCCAGCGAGGCAGTTGTATGTATATTAATTTACTATAAATAGCACGCTGCTTCCAAATGCCTTTGACTACTCACAGACAACTGTTGAAGGCAAATTCTACGCTAACGTAGGTCACCAGCGACCTACGCGGCAATTTAAAATTATCTCATTTACTGAGAACTCAATTAGTTAAAGACCCGACCCGCTAACGGTTATCTTAGTACAAAGCAACTCGCTTAAAGTGCCAGTGACCATTCTACTGTGAACGTTCCAAGTTGATGTCACGTGCATTTAAAAATCAATCATAATTGTATAGTGTTAGAAGTGATAGTGCAACTTTCAGTTATTATTAACTTATTTTTAAAAGGACACTCTTCGGGTTGGTTGCAGCAGTTTTCGAGACACAGATTTGCAGATACGATATTGTTTATTTAATACAGATAAAGATTATCTACAAAATGCGTACAGAACTTCCAACGTGTAAAAGATGTTGTTTCTGTATGCCTCTACGTTATGGCTTATTGTCATGGGGATATTTCCGATTCGTAAGTATTTTTTTTTTCATATTCTTTGTATAAAACTTGCAAAATAAAAAAACATTAATATTTAATAATAAAATGACGTAAAATTGTACATTGTTTATTATTTACAATGTATTGTAGTTTACAGCTTACTCGTTTATTTTGCGGGGTAACTCGACAAGTTTCAAGTTAATTTAGGGGCTCATAGTCATGAGCAGCGCTGTGTTACAATTACATATGATATGGCAAGCGTCGCGCAGTCAAAGTGCGTGTTTAGTTGAGCGACCCTCGCAATGCCGTTCATAGAATATCTATTAATTCTTCATATCTTTTCTTTTTGTTTTCAGGTCATATCAGGACTCTTTTTAGTTGGACTCACAGTTGGATTTGTAGGGTTAATTACGGCAGAAAATGGTTTCAGAGAATTGGTGTCAATAATAGTTGTGGGGGTTCTACTGCTGAGCACGTTAACTGATTTCGTACTCAACTTTTTATTTATCCTCGGCGGACATAAGGTGAGTTTTACAAATCAAACTATAATGAATTTTTATACATGATGTAAACTGGCCGCTCCCGAAACATTGACAAAAAGAAATTGTTTATAAAAATTTAATAGTTTTTATATTAAATAAATTACTATGTTTTCGGCTTACTCACGTAATAATTTAATTATAATACGTAGTGGGTCGCGAAATGCTGCTCATGAATATGAGCCTCTAGCATGGCTTGAAACTAGTCGAGTTACTCGTTAAATTACTGCGTGAGTAAGCCGAAAACATAATTATTTATTTAGTATGTCTCACGAAAGTTATAATATAGTTTTTATATTCTGGTTATTCGTGCAATATCGGCCTTGAGCATTTTATTACAAATATTATCAAATAGAAGAAGCACTTAATTCCTTACTTCTGTGAAAATATAACTCGACTTTACCATCACCAAACAAACAGGATATTCCCGAAAATCGCCGCCTGTATAACATAACATCATCATTTATCAGAGAAGGCGTTTAAAAAGTACTATGGAATACCATTAAACTGTCAAACACCAAGCGGTCACCGGTGACCGCAACCTATTGTTCTATAATTGTGTCTACAAAACCGGTACTCGACGAGTTAATATATCACCAGTTTTGTTAAGAGAATAGATGGTGAATCTAATGCATTATTGGACACAATTCTAGGCACCATGGTACTTACGTAAGATAATTATTACTAGACTTGATATGATAGTAATACATACTAGACTTGACTAGTCGCAGGACTCGCAGACATTTATAAAATGAACGTAAAATAAAATCCTATACACGAACAAAGTGGGTAAAGCTAATGATATCGTTGATTCAAGTAAACCGCGTTATCAAGAGGTCAAAGCAGTAACATGATACTGGATCTTCTTACTTGCGCGTAAACATCTAATGTTCTTGTTGATTATACATCGTTCTCAACATTAATGTCATTATAAACAAATAGTCTAAATAGAGCTCCTACACTGTTAAAATATATGTCTAAGTAGATAAAGTTTTTATGGCATAAGCCGGTAAACGAGCAGACGGATGACCTGATGGTAAGCAATCGGCGTCGCCCATGGACACCCGTTACACTAGAGGCGTTAGAAGTGCGTTACCGGCATTAAAAATTTGAGGGTTGTTGGGGATTCAGGGTTTGGGGAGGTTAGGGAGGGCCGGTTATTTCCTGACATAAACAGAAACATTGTCACGCGGGAGAGCTATGTTTATCACGGCCGGCTTGATCGGAGTGATATCATACCACAGGATAATATTACCACGGCCTCACGGAAAACCGATGTGAAACAACTCTTGCGTTGTGTTGCGCTACAGAGGTGCACATTACAGCACTTAATGTCGACAATCGAAACTAAAAAAGTTTTAAATGTGACTCATAACTATTCAGTAACCTCCAGTTGATGAACCAGTACTCGATTACCAGTTGCTCATCTGCGCATACTTGAAAGGAAGTAGTCCATCCTGGATGGACTCTTTCATGGTTTCATCCGAAACCTCAACAAAAATCAACGTCGGGTACCGAATCACACAACCAACCATCATGTAAACTAAATTTTCGTTATTAACATCTTGTCAGCATTTACGTTCACGTCTACCTACTTTAATTATCGTCAGTTGTGCTCTGATCCTTCTAAGAACCACAATTCTGGTAATAGCCAGAACTACAAACTCGCCTTGGCATGGCCATGCCAACTTGTTGTGGCAAGATACTGCAAAAGCTGTAAAAAGCAGAGTAATATCGTATCAGAGCCATCTTTGGGTCGCTAAGCCAACGGAGTAAGTCCTGTGACTCTAAAACTTAATCAATTCAAAGGGCTTTCTAATTACAGCTCTAATATCATTCGATTAAGCTCATTGTTTTATTCCAACCAAACTATCGAATTCATTACTACTGATCAAAACTAAAGAAAACCAACATTCATAAAACGATGGCTTTATGGATGGATTTCGTACAGGAGGTACGAAAATCAATAATTAGAAATTCAGAGCGGAAAAAACATAATTTCCACCACCATATATGCTGATCACAGCTAAACCATAGCCCAATAATCTACAGCTGCTCTCTTTTCTTACGTGAACCCTACAGGACACACGAGAGAACGTGAATGTGAACGAGAGAGACAAGAAACGTCTATCCTCGAAGTATCTCTGGAGGATCGAATGCGAGGCAAGATAATCTGACAGATAATAATCAAACATTTAATCCTACAAACTGGAACTGAGTAAACTCAATATGATAATAAATAACAGTTACACAGTCCAATTGCCATACAGGTTCTTCGCCACCCAGGCGTTATGCCACACAAGACTATTGCCGCAGGTGCTTTGCCATACAGGCTTTATGGAACTCAGACGCTATGCCACACAGGCGCCTAGCCACACATGCGCTTTGCCACACAGGCGGTTTGTCACACAAGCGCTTTGCCACACAGGCGGTTTGTCACACAGGCGCTTTGCCACACAGGCGCTTTGCCACACAGGTGCTTTGCCACACAGGCGGTTTGTCACACAGGCGCTTTGCCACACAGGCGCTTTGCCACACAGGTGCTTTGCCACACAGGCGCTTTGCCACACAGGCGTTTTTCCTCAGATGCGCTTTGCCACACAGGAACCAAGCCACACAGGTGCCTTGACACACAGGCGCCTTGCCATTCAGGCGATTCGCCACGCAAGCGGTTTGCTACACAGGCGCTTTGCTACACTGGCCTTTTGCCACATAGGCGCTTTGCCACACAGGCGCTGTGCCACACACGCGCTTTGCCAGACATACGCTTTGCACACATGCGCTCTGCCACATAGGCGCTGTGCCACACACGCACTTTGCCATACAGGCGCTTTCCCACACAGGCTCATTATCACATGTTCCTCATTGGTGGGGTCTGGTGTGTTGAGTGACGAGTGTTGAGTGCAACACGTGACATTAACGTGTATAGGAAATTCTACCTATGTTACATTTCATACTTGAGGAACCTGGTGATTAGATATCCTCCTCAGTTTTTTCGTCAGAACTACGTATACTGTATCTCAATTTCATCCGTTAAAATTAGATTTCTCGGCATTTTATGCAACCTATATACGCTACTTTTTTATGTATGGTACAAAGTTATGACCTTAAGTTAATTAGATTCAATAATCAAAACGATGAAGTATAGCGGGATTCGATACAATTTAGACGTACTATAAAAACTAAATATCAGTCTCCTTTTTACTACGTCGTTTTCACTATTAGGCAAAAACTCCACCTCCTACATCATCTGGAATAACCATCTAATAGCCTACCTACCCACTACAATACAAAGCACATAACGGAAACATATCTCATGTCGCAGTACCTTTAAATCAAAATCAAAATAAATTATCAACAGCCATCAAGATTTTCAAGGTAATTACAATGTGGACCGACACCAAGTGTGTAAAGTCACTTGCAAGTATTCCCTAGCTACTTCTAGTCAGCCATGGCTGTGGTTTCATGATATGGACTCGAGTCCCTGCCGCAGTAACGATTGTGAATAACACACACGGTGTCAAAAATAAACTGAAATTTAGAATAGAATTACTACTCACTGTTCCCTCAGTCTCAGTCACTTTCAAAGCTTAAACAAGGTTAACAAAGTTTAGTCCACTCTTATTGTAATAATGTTCACTGTTATAATCTCAAACTCAATAAGAAAATCACAACAGATTGCAACCACTGAACACTAATCGACTGACAGTATTCTTAGTAAGTAGTTCTTCGCTCGGAGTACAAGACAAGAGTGAGTGCCGTGGTGCCATGTTAAACAGCAACCAATCTACTCTCCTCTTCAATAAACATGACGTCACAATTAACTGTTGAGGTTTGCCATCCTTATTCCTCTTGTTGTTATTCCTTCGTTTCGTAGTTAATCGAAGTCCTGTACTAATGACCTTTCCGACACATAATGACACTAGCTACTTCAGCACGGTTTCACACGCTCTGCTCAGCTCTTATTGGTCGTAGCGTGATTTTTTATAGCCTATAGCCATCCTCGATAAATGCGCTATTCAACACAAAAAAAATTATTCAAATCAGACTTATAGTTACGGAGATTAGTGCGTTCAAACGAACAAACAAAAAAACAAACTCTTCCGCTAACTGCTAACTTTGAAATCCAAAAACTTGCAATCATCATCATCAACAGTATAAATGGCCACTGCTAACCAAAGGCCTCTTCTCACACGGAGAAGGTTTGAGCATTAATCACAACGCTTGTTCAATGCGGGTTGGCGATTACAAACTTATAATTACAAATTATATGACCAGGTTTCCTTACGATGTTTTCCTTCACCGTTAGTCAGTGGTATCTAAATAATCTTAGACAATACATACAACTTGGAAAAAGTCACATTGGAATTTGCCGTTGGTAGAACCCGCACCCTCATGCATGAGAAGCGGGCGTCTTAAACCTCGTGGCACCACGACGCGACCCTTGCAATAATATAATTTACTAGCTCTTACCCGCGGCTTCGCTCGCGTCACAAAAGGATAAAAAGTAGCCTATGTGACATATACCAATACGCACAGCGCCATCTATACCAATACTTTGGTTTTCCCTCGGGAACATCAAATTTTTCTGGGATAAAAAGTACCCTATTATTTAATCTGGTCTTCTAACTTTACGTCAACATAAATTCAAAACAATCGGATTAGTAGTTACGACGTGAAAGCGGAGCAAACAAACAAATAAACAAACAAACAAAGTCACTTTCTGATTTATAATATTTATTAGTAAGGATTATATATAAAAATATGTTTTTTAACATTTTCAGAAGGACGTAAGACTGTTGAGGTCGTACTACGTGTACAGTATAGTGCTGTGTGTATTGACGATAGTGCTGGGCATCGCCTCTTCTGTGCACACCATGATGATGTTGAAGATGTTTTCCTTCAGTAATTCCTTTGACGTCTCATTCTACCTTTGGATCATGTTAGTTGATACGGCCACTTTCATCGCTCAAGTTTGTAAGTATTATTGTCTACTGCATAAAGTTAGGCTGCCTAACCATTGACGCGAAGAGGGGCACCGGAACGGAGCTAGCGAGTATTGCGGAGCGGAGTTACGCACTGTGTCTGTCCATTGACGCAGAGTGAGGCAGCGGTGCGGAGCCAGCGATTATTGCTGAGTGGAGTAACGGACTGTGTGAAGCTAGGCCGAGTTTATGCAACTAGTCGAGTTTATCTCAATATCCCATACCCCACCCTGCTCCCAAAACCGTTTCCCCGCCGCCGGCTCACTTGGCTGCCCCGCTCCACTGTCTCGCACCGCTACCTCGCACCGCTACCACACACCGCTTCCGAAAATGTATGAATTTTTAAACTAGCTCGCAAACCCCTTTTCACTAAAGCAGAGCGGAGATTTCATGCAATTCTATTGTTAATATTTCTTCGTTTCTCCGCTCCGCTGCTCCTCTCCGCGTCAATGGACAGGCAGCTTTATTCTGAAACAATCTTTTAGTTCAGGCAACCAAATTATCCATACTCTAATTACGCCCGAATAATACAAGGCTACGAATATATAAAATTTGTATCATGTATTCCGCGACTAGCACCCGAATACCGAAAGGCTACTGAATTTTGAGTTGTACTTAAATATCGTGCCGTCTCTGTCATTTTACAAAGAAGATGTAACGCGGTCTAACTCGTACTAGGCTCTCAGAGCGCCGAACGCGGTCTACGCGCTAAGCTCTCAGAGCGCCGAATGCAGTCTCGTTTCGATCATTTTAAACGTAAAACGAACTCGTACTATTTATTGCCTACGGGTCTTGTTCACGAGTAACGCATGTGCGGCGCATCGGGTAGCCAATTGATTTGATTATAACACCTCATAATATTTTTTAAACAAAAATCTTAATTTCCAATGCTTTCTTTGTTTCCAGTGATTCAAATATATTTCCTGCTCCTAGTACGAAGCGAGATTATAAAATTGAGAAGTAATTGCGAATTTAGATTCGTGAACCTCACTGCTGAAGGGGAGTGCACACTGAAGTGCACTGAAAACAGTGTCAATAATGAAGAAGGACAGAACTAATAGACATAGTTGCGACTTAGTAACGAAAACCACCAATTTGTGATATTAATGTAGTTGGTGCTCATACCAAAATGATTCTTGTGTTGTTCGAAATAAAGTTAAGCTTTGAGTAATATAATGCTTTGTTTCATTTCTTGTTTTTTTTTTTTATTTTATTTAAGAAGCATTGCTCCATAATAGGGTTTTCTCCTGACGTTTCGTGGGTGCTTTTACAAACACAAATTCACATACACATCACACGTAGACCCGGAACAACAATCTGTGGATCACACAAAGAATTGTTCCGTGCGGGAATCGAACCCGCGACACATTACGCGGCAGCCAGTTGCCCAATCACCGCGCCCACGGTGCAGTCAATTATAATGAAATAGTATAGAAGACGGTGGTTAAAGTCATTGAAAACTGGTCTACCTGGAAGCCAGGACAGAGCAACAAAAATAATTATATTTAATTATAATTCTAATAACATTAGAAAATACCTATTTGTCGAATAAATGCTATTTTTGTTTTCTTTCTTCCTTTCTTTCTTGAAAAGGCTTACCCAGGCGGGAGCAGACATTCGATGATTGATTGATATTTAATTTTTACCTTACACTCTTTAACTGTTCAATCCCCAAGCGGTCGCCGGTGACTGCTTTCTACTAACTCCTTAATAGACCTTATTTCTGATGTTTACAGATTATTTTTGTGTGAACAAAATACCCAAATTTCAGTATGATATATCAATGTATTAAGAAAAAGTCTGGTAGATATACATATATCCATCTAGGTAAAAGTTATATGATAATTATAATAATTGAGTGACTAAGTATAGGATATGCGAACTTTAATCATGCAATTAGTCATACTACCGGTACACTTAGTTGTAAAAATTAACGACTGTATTATCGAATTCACAAAATAGTGTTGGTACCTACTAGCCAGTAGTTTCATTCGTGGCATCCGGAAAAAAATACCCCTTGCGTAATTCCAAATTATAATCTATCTCTGCACCAAATTTCATCCAAATCCGTCCAGTAGTTTTTTCGTGGAAGAGTAACAAACGTACATACTATATCCAGCTATACATATTATTATGTATATCGCCACAAACTTCCACAGTTATAACATTAAGGCCTGTTTCACAATATATTAGCCCTTAGCCAAACGCCGCCAAAGGAACTCCTCAACTTATCTAGCCGATAAGCATAATATTTTAATGCCTCCAACATAAATATAAATCAACTATGAAACGCAACAGTGCAAAAAAGAGCAAGAAAGCTCCATAAACGAAGTTTTATAAGGAAATTAGCGCTTGTCTACAGAGAGAGTAGAAAAGTGAATGTATGGGGATGACACTGACAAGTGTCAAAATTTACGTCAATTCTATATAATTTGGTTTTCTACATGTAGACAAGCGCTAAAGTGGCGTTTGGCTACAGCTGCTGGATAGTCGTTATCTATCATATAAATTCGAATTAGGAACGTAATTTAGAGGTATATGAACTATCTGTCATATAAGTTTATCAGGTACATAAATAGAAGTGGTGAAACCGGCGCTAAGTAGGAAAAACAATTGAAATATATAAAAATATCTCATTGGCCGTGTGGTCGCAAGCGCAACTGCTGGGCAAGGGGTCTCGGGTTCGATTCCCGGGTCGGGTAAAGTATTACTGGGTTTGTAAAAACCTCAGTAATAGCACGGAGTCTGGAAATGTGCCCGGTATATGGCAATAGGCTCACCCCCTATTACGTGGGACTCATAACATAAATAGTGAAAAGTGGGTGTTACATTGTACTTGAGTGCCGTAATGTGCACTTCTGCCCTACCCCTTTGGGGATAAAAAGGCGTGATCCTTACAATATTATAAATCTGAAAGTGAATTTGTTTGTTCCGCTTTCACGCCGTAACTACTAAACCGATTGCTATGAATTTTTGCAGATGTATAGTTAGAAGTCCGGATTAAATAATACTTTTTATGCCGAAAAATGTGATATTCCCGAGGGAAAACAAAAGTATTGGTATATGTCACATTGGCTTTTTATCCTTTTGTGACGCGAGCAAGGCCGCGGGTAAAAGCTAGTGTTATATATACTATAGAATCCTTAGGACGTCCACCCGCAAGGTGGACAGACGACCTGTTGAAAGTTGCAGGGAGCCGCTGGATGCAGGTCGCTTTCAACCGGCCTATCTGAAAATCATTGGGGGGCCTATGTTCTGTTGTGTTGTCCTATGGTTGATATCTCACAGTGAAGCCACGGGCAAAAACTAGTCTGTGTATAAATTCAGAAGGAATCACTTTTGTAACTGACTTTACTTTTGGTATGTGTGTGAAATGATAGGAGTATCGATACCTACAAAATTTCGGTTTACAATTAAATTCTATGTCATTGTTTTAAGCTGATGTCCAGTCGTTTAGTGTAAATAATAATCTAGTGTTGGCATAAATATTAATTGGTCAATTTATATATCCATTGATTTCTATGAAATAAATTCTCATCTAGTGTATTGAGTAAGAAACTTTGTGCCTAATAAGTAAGTTCTAGTTTGTTTTTCACCTTTAAATTTAAAGACGGTCTAAAGGACGGTAAGCATGGATAGCTCGGCGCCCGACCAGATCCAGGCCTAGCATACAGTGATTCGAGTTCAACGAGCCATCAGACCACCACGGATGGGGCACAATAGGGCTGACGCCGAATGTGCTTCCACCCCGTTCCTACTCCTGCACTTTGAGCCGGAGCCCCGGCCACTCGTTAAGTGTTCCGCGGCTTGTATCGGCATCAGCCCTATTGGGACCCATCTGTGGTGGTCTGATGGCTCCATGAGGCGTGCGCGGAATAAGACGCGCTGTACGCTCGGGCCAGGTTCTGGTCGGGCGGTCCGCAGGCCCGTGCTTATGGTGGCCGGAGATCGTCTCGCGATCCCGACGCCCGGAGTATCTCTCGCGACGGCTGGGGCGTGAGGAGGTTGGTCCCTCACGCACCACGCCTGCTCCTTAGCTAGCATGTAAGCTATGTTTTTCAAAGTGGACTCTGTGCTGTTAAAAATAAACGTCATATTTATTCTTCTTTTCTAGAAACACTTGCATCATAATGGCTTATGAAGTAAAAATGACTATGGAACTTCCCGAGATTAAAAGATGTTGTTTCATATGTCCGCTGCGATTCAGTATCATTATTTGGGGATATGTTAAACTGGTAAGTTTTCATTTAAATTGTTGTTCAAGTTCTGAGCACAGATTAAGACTAATAATTTATTTATATGACATTTACAATTACTGGACGGGCAACCGTGTACCGCGCAACGTTTTAGATTCACATTCATTTGATTATTACTCAGCACTTTTTCGGTTTCTAGCTAATGTATATATTTGTCTGATGACTAGGTAGGACCAAACAATATAGGTACATAATGTCTCGCAAGGTTATATTTCCCCTTTCATATTTCTAAATTAGTATTATATATATAGTAAGTATTCATTATTTACCACATTATAGAAACTTCATAATGACTGTTAAAAGATTAGTCTCGGATCTATTTGGTGCAGTCGTTCAGGTGTTGTGGATCACATTTTTATGGACTATGTACACATACATCTGGATTTGGTTGTTTTATTGGCTTGCTTGTTTTAGATCAGCACTGCAGTGGACTTGTACATGAAAATAATGCTACTCATAAATATAGATCCTGAGAAAAACAACGTTGTTTGGCAAGGACTCCTTGTGGCAAATCTTGTACAAGAATTCGTACTATGTTTTATTCTAATTGTCGCAGCACATATGGTAATAAGCTAAAGCCCAGGGATACAGGGTCAAAATGTTCCACGATATGTAACAAAATATTTATATAAAGTTACTCCTTGTCATGTATTTTCATTTTCAGAAAAATTTCAAACTTCTCCAAGTATTTTACATCTACGGCTGTATTCTGCTGGTGTTCCAAATTCTGGCTGTGGGTGCCCTGACAGTATTCATACTTTACCTGACCTTCGTCGATAAACCTCTTACCAAAGGCTCGTTGGCTCATCAGTCGGTGGCGTGGCACTATTTGATGTATGCCTCAACATTCTACGCCAGTTTGAGTGAGTTAAACTTTCGATTACTGCACTTGAGTATTTGTCACTTTATAGCATTATGTCCTATATAATGTTGGTCAAAATTGTTCCTATAATAACTCACACA